CAATTTAGCCTTATTTTTACTAAACTAACTAAGTCACATTTTTAACAAATTTAATATGAATTAATAAAAATTAATCTGAATTGGTAGAAATTATTCCTCGATTTCTCACCATAAAACTGTTAGTCTCAAGGTTTTATATTTATTTAGATAATGACAAAATAAATAAAAATTATTATATATATAATGGATAATATGGACAAATTATATTATTGAGTTTATTATTTAGAGATATATACCTTACATGTTCTACAAAGTAAAATTTTCAAATTAGACATATATGTAATAAATTGGTCATATCTTATTATATAATACTTTAAAAATAGTAAGGTTAATTTTATATGAAATTATACTCAAATATCTTTATTTTGATGTATAACTTATCTCATATACTCTTCTATGACAAAGTAGTTTTTTATTTCAATTTCATATATTGTCTTATGAAAAAGTCAATATTGAAATTTGCATGATATTAATTCTAAATATAAAATATAATTTGTGATATAAATAAAATTTTGAATTAAATTTATTTGTAAAATGGACGTATTATGCTTTAAATGTATATATAATATGCATGTTTTACACTTATAAGATTAATATATATAATTTTTCAAAATGGACTATTCTGCTGAGTCACACTGTCAGTAGACAAAATGAGTATACTAAAATATTTTTATATATATCTCAAAATATAAAATTCAAATTTATACAAATCTAATTTTGGATGAAAGTAGACGTTATAAGCTTTTCAAAAATATATAATTTGTTATTTTTTACGATAAATTCAAATTTCTAGATAATTTTGAACTTGACCAACAATTTTTGTCAAAAGCAATTTTACAATCTAGCATATTGTTGAAAGTTTAATCATTTCTTTTAAACGGTGTATGATAATTTAATAATTCTTTTGTATTTGAAAATAAACTCATTGAAGAGTGTTCACGAACTTTTTAAAATTTTTTGAACATTTGAAGCCATTTTATATAAAATTTTGAAACGAGCATATGTGCAGTTACTGTTGACAAATGATTTTGTCTTTCACAAAGACCAGCGTCTCTTTGGTATTTTTACCTTTAAAAGGAATATAAATTGAGGGGAAAAGCATATAACAACAAACTCTCAAAATTTTATCAATCTCTCTCTAAAATTCTTTGCGTTACATTATTTATTACTAAATCAAATTATTTTATTCTTGAGAGTGCTTCTTTGAAGTGAGATTTTTTTTGTACATGAGTGGTAGTTAATCCTACTTAAGAGGAATTACTACATTTCTACTTCATCTTTATTACCATTTGTATTAGTATTTAAAGATTATCGAATCAAAGATTTTGTAATTGAAATTTCTTACTTTCGCCAAGTGCGAGGGAATTTGTTTGTACTCGGGATTTCTTGCTTCTATCAAGTGTAAGGGATTTAATAAAACCTCAGACGGTTGGAGCTCGAGAGAGTGGATGTAGACTTGGGTGACAAGTCAAACCATTATATTTATTATTTGGTGAATTATATAAGTTTATTTGATTCAATGATTTTATTATTGTCTTTAATTTTTCACACTATTAGTTTCCGCGATAAAAACCCAATTCACCCCCTCTTGGATTACCTTTTGGAACAATAAAAATAACACTTAAGCTAAAATCTAAACCGATTAAATGAAATTAAAACACAACTAGATTGAAAATACAAAAAATTTCATTGAAAAACTTACTCGAAATTTGATTAAAATTTCTTTGCCTTCATTCGGTTCCCAACTCCCGTTTTACCCTGCTTTCTTTTTTCTTTCTTTTCTTTTGTTTTCCTCAAGTTATGCTCGACTTATGCAATGAAAAGTTTTTTATTGGTGCCTCCCATTTGCGGCGGTGCATTGAGGTGGCAAATAATTATTTTATTATTTTAATTATATTTTATTATTATCTTAAGAAATTGTAAAAATACCCTTCTTGCCCTCAAAGATTAAAGGGCTTTTAAAGCTAAGCTTAAACCACTAATCACCCCACTAAACATGCTTATACAAAATAAAATATAGAGTACATGAGAGTTTTAAGTCAGGATGTTACAGAACGGCCTTAAGTGGCTTGGCAAGTCGGTTCAGCTTGGTTTTAGTGTCTATTAGTTAGATCTATTCGATTCAGTTGGTTTTGGAGGAATTTGGTCTGATTCAATCTAGTACTATGGTGTTTAGCACTGGTTCAGTCTTGTTTAGTGGTGTTTTAAGTCAGTTCAGTCTAATTCTAGGGGATTTTGGCTTGGTTCAGTCTAGTTCAAAGGTGTTTTTGTTTAACTCATCCGATTTTGAGATGTTTTGGCTCAGTTTAGAGGTGTTTTAGTCTGGTTTAGTCCGGTTTTGAGATGTTGGGGCCGGTTCAGTTTGGTTCAAAGGTGTTTTGAGTCTAGTCTAGTCTAGTCCAGTTTAGGGGTGTATAAGGCCTATTCAGCTTGGTTCAATGATGTTTGGGACCAATTAAGGCCGGTTCGATAGTATTTAAAGTTGGTTCAAGTTGGTTCGGGGATATTTGATATTAGTTCACTTCGGTTTAAGGTTCATTTCGCAAGATTGGTTCTTGTTTCAATTTGTTTTGGGTTTGAATGTTAAATAATGAACCTCAAGATATATGTCAAGGGTTCAAATTGGAGTCGAAGACCAGTTTAGAGAACTGAGTGTTTAAGTAGTTTAAGCTTTGGTTTTGGTTTTGATATTATATCACTGCGGTTACAAATACCACCGAGAAAACGTGTTTTGATAGTTGAGGTTATCTAGAGATTCTAGCTTTGGTTTATTTTCGTACTATGAGTGATAATACTTCTTTTATACATATGTTTTGACTCTAGTCATTATCTATACATTATGATATGTGTTATTTGTTTTAAAAATTAAACTTTAGGATAGATATTCAATTTTGCTAAAATTTTCAGTGAGCATTTTAAATTACTTGATTCGATCTAAAATTATGCCTATAATATGTGTGTGTATATATATATATATATTATTTTTTTTTTTGTTTTCTAAAAACTATATGTTAAGAGTTGCTTTAGTTTCAGTTTAGACAGAGATAATTGTGTTTGAGCACTGTGTGCTTTATATGTGTTCTAGCTCTAGTTCTGATTCAGTGTGGGATCCCGATATGATATGTAATACCTCTGACATAATATGCTCTATTTTGAAATAAGATTCTGATACTCCGATACTTCCATATGTTTTTGAATTTGTGAGGTATATATGTATGATTTTTAATAATATATTTGTTTATTAACTGTCTTATTATATATATATATTTGGCATGTTTTATGATGCATATCTCAGCATGACTAGAGCCTATATTATCATTCACTGAATCTCGTACTCACCAGTTTCTCAACATTTTTCAGATCATAATGCGGCCTCATCTTTCTGATTACTTCTCTAAGTGAGTAGGCGGGTTTCTGTCGAGTTGGTTTTGATATACGATTTTGCTAATTTATACTATTGTATTTTAGTTACTCTATTTATTTTTTAGACATAATTCTTCTAATTGCATGAATTGTGATAATTGTTTTAATTTATATATTATAAATGTTGTTTTGTTTGAAAATTATTAGAGTTGGTGATTTAATCTTAACACCAGTCACATGCTTAATTTTGAAGCATGACATGAGATGACCAATCTGTCAAGCCAACTTTAGTTATGGGTGAGACTCAATTTGACAAAACTAATAAGTGGAAAAATTAGCGAATCAGTAAGCTCATTAAAATTTATTATTTTGAAGAATAGTTTTGAAATTTATTATCAAAAGGTTTGAAAAAAAATTTACCTAGGAGATAATTTTATTTTTAAAAATAACTTTTTACATTTTCTAATATCTAAATTATAGAGATAAATTTGTAAAATTATAAATATATATTTATAAAATTATAAGTATATTTATGTAATACATTATAAATTATGTCTATTTGTTAAATTATAAATATATATTTATAAAATTACAAACCTAAATGTGTGAGATTATAAAAAAGAAAAAAGTTTAGAAAGACGATAGAATGTGAATACGAAACAATAACATTACATCTATCAACGTGAAAATTAGAAATATTGACCGAAGATATTAAAGTTTAAAAAAAAAAAAAAAAGTTAGTGGAGTTGCAGCGGGCCCGACTAGGGAGGTTCTGGGTTGCGGTGGGTTAGGGCCGGGTTGCAGGGGGGCGAATTGGGGGGGGGGGGGGGTGTTTGGATTCCGGAGGGCTGAACGCTGGGGGACAGGTCTTAGACGAGGGCCAAAGGGGTCTGGGTCGCCGCCGGGGTTTTGGGGTGGGGGGAGGAGGTTATATAGATCGCGGTTGAGAGGGGAGCTGGGTTGCAGCGGGGACTAACCGGGGTTCTGGTTTGCGGGGCGGCCGAGGGGAGATCTGGGTTGTAGGCCAGTGGCTCGGGGAGGGGGTGACGGTATTCTGAAAAGCAAAAATATCTTCTAAAGAAATATTTTTTATTTTAAATTTTTCACGTCATTAAAAAAACCCCTCCAAATAATTTCCCTTATTCATTTTTAGTAGTCAGCTAGCTTTTCTGTCTCGCTCTCTCCTATCTCTTTTTCTCCATTTCCGATGATCTGTAGTCTGTACGCCACTTTACAGTATCCTCGATAATAAGGAATTTACCCTGACCTTCCTTGCCGCTTCAATATTTTCAAACTCATTTTTGACCAGTGTTAAAACGAGAAAGAAAGCACTCTGCTAACCGGGGACTCCAGTCAATCCAGGCTGAGGCTACCCAAAACACACACGCATATATTAATCTTTATTTCTTTTTTCTAATTGTAAACTTCGCAGAACAAATACACAATATTTCTGGTACGCACAGAGAGAAAGCGGAACAGCCTCGCCAACAAGCAGCAACACGAACACAGGACAGGGAACAGTACAGGACGCAGAAACTTCAATCTCAGACGAAGATTGGAGTTAAACATATTTTTCCTGATCTACGTACAAGGTTTCACATAAATAGCTCTTCGGGTTTTAAGGATTTTTCTCCTTTCTAGCAAGTGGGTATGGGAACACCGCAGGTGGTGGCCACCCTGCGGGCGTTGGGGGAGTTGACGTACTGGCGGAGGTTGGGGTCCTTGAGGTAGCCGCAGAGGCAGGGCCTCTGCTCCCTCACCTTGTCGCAGCATGTCCTAGACGGCGGCTGCGACGATGTTATAGCTCCTATGCACGGACTCAGCTCCAACGGGTTGCATGTCACCGCATCCGCCGCCGCGCTGCCGCTAGAAGCACGGCCACCACCAGCACTGCTGCCGCCCACAGCAAAGAAACAGAGCGCGCCTTCTTCATCTTCAGAGAGTATTGATGTGACAATGCTGAGATGCGTGCATCTGCGTGGTCGACCAGGAGCACAATTTATACAGCCGGGGCCGTGTTTGTGGGGATTTAGGTGGAAAATTACTATCCAACCTGTGATTCGTGGTCGTACTACGATGTCATATTTCAATTCAAACTTTGCTATCGGCGATCCAATGTGTACCCACTCTCCATTCAGTCTAATTTCTCGTCAAAATTCTAGTATTACAAGAAAAATCTTTTGACCATTGGTTAAAAATATACAACATAACATCTATATTTGCCATTAGTTTTTGTAATTTTTCATTTTTTAAAAAAAGAAAATTATTTTCAAAACATTTTTAGAAACAAGTCCTTTAAGAAAAAAAAATGGAAAGTATTACGTTGTTTTCAGGATTTTTAATTGAAATTAAAAATAAAGGGTTTTGCGAAGAAAAATAGAAATAAACAAACAAAATAAAACGGGAAATGCGGTGTGGCGGTAAAGATTAAGACAAATTAATCCGAGAATTATGCACGCTGCTAGTACTATGAGCACGAGATAAAAATAATAAAAAATAAAAATGAAAATAGAAAATTTGTGGCTCACTCACATGAATTTATTTTATTTTGTTTTTAAATTTTTTATCATTTATATATTTATTTTGTCTTCTTTTCCATTCCATCACCTGACTTGACAGAGTAGGCAAAACCCCGCCAAATTCGTTTGTCCAAGTCAAAGTCTTCTGCGACCACTCAATTCTAGTGGGCCCCACTTTTCCCATCAGCGGGCGCTACTCCCCGGCGCCAAAATCAAAACTGCAGGTCCTCGTTCCCACTCACGAGAGAAATGTCCTTTTCTGGCAAAAACAAAAATTAGTCTGTATTTAGTTGATTCGCGAGAAAACAAATTTTTATTTTTTAAAACAAAATTTATTTTAATTTCTCAAATTTTTTTTATCTTATTTATTCTTTTAAATTATATAATGTAATAGTTATTTCTGAATATTAACACCATTAAATTGTTATTATATATATTCAATAAATTCTTAAATTTTAAATATTAAATTACAAAAATAAAAGTGTTTAAAATAAATATTTATTAGTTTGCATTTTTTGATTCCAGATAAAATAAATTTTTATTTTATTTTTTCTTTTAATTTCATATTTTTAGCTATTTCAAAAAAAAAAAAAATGATTAGAGTGGAGATTATTCCAATGAATAAATGTCAAGGAGGGCTGCTTTTAAGCAGCACGCTTAGATTAAAAGGACGATCTGATGACAAGTGGTCAATCTTCACCAAAGATTTGGCGTATGCGTCATGATGCAGCGGTGGACAAAGTTGATTATGATCGACCTTGGTGAAAACGTTTATTTCATATTTATTTACGAACTGTGCCAATTTGTTGAATTTAAATTAATAAATTAAAATATTTAAATTTAATTTGTATAATAATAATATCTAGAAACTTACATATATAATATAGTATGACAATTATAAACTCGCGTTAGACGGAATATAACAAATTTAATATTTTTTAAATACAATTTTTTAAGAAATATTTAAACCTGTTTCACATTTCTTGATTAGTCACATAAAAAATATAACATTAGAAAATAATTTATTTTCTTTTATTTACAAAAATTTATGAACCAAACACTTCTAGTAATTCATGCCACAATTTTCTTCAATTGACCAAACTAGAATATGAAAATGATGCTGTAAAATATTTAAGGGAAGTTGTTATAGTTATGGGATTTTATTATTTCTTATAATTAATAATTCAATAAACAAAATCATACAGAACAATAAAAATAACTTTACAATCCATCAAAATTAAAATACATAATTTTTGCTGAGGCGTATTATTATTAAAATTATATGAATGAAATTTTTATTTCATCTGAGTCCTTTTAAAATTACAGTATGCCCAACCAAAAAAGAAAAAGAACTTGAATTTGGGGTTCTAACGTGTTTGACTTATTCAACCTAAAAGGCTAATCGATTAGGCCCAATATTTGGGCTATCCAAGAGTAACAGTCTTTCGATGTGGACCTTGAGCGAGGAGGGCTGGTAAACGGGCCGGTCCATATCGGGTACGCCAGCACTCTGGCAGAATTAGCTTTAAAACGGATGGAACTCGCAAATCGAAGGACAAGAAGGCGGGTTGTGGATGCTTGTTGAGAGACACTGACGGGGATCAGATTAGAGATTCTATTCCCAATATCGGGGACGCCTAAATTTTAATGCCGGAGGCTTGGAGGTCATGGAAGTGGCTTAATCTAACTTGGAACTTGAGAATATGAAGAATCTCCGTGGAGACAGTTTTGAAAATTATTGTGAATACTCTTACGAGGTCTTGATCTCTCAACCGTAAAATATTCCCTCTCTAACTAGAAGTAGGCTATATTTGATGCCGTAAAAAGAAGAAAAGAACGGATATGATGAGAAAGAAATAGAGAAGAAGAGACTTTTTCTTTATTTTGTTTGTTATCCTCCAATGATAAAGAAAGGATAGACAAATTTCAAGTTTAGAAGTTAATATAAAAATTTAGAAATAATAGGGACTAGATTGAAAATACAAAATCTAAAGCATTTGCTCTGCCCAGCCCTATTCTACACCCGTGGAGGTTCGTTGGCTTCATTGTGAGCCAATAGGCCAAATCAACCTAGAAGGCTTACAAATGAGAGTCATTTGGGAGAGCTAAAATGGTTATGATTGATTCTATGCTTGATTCCATTTGGATGCATCATTGAACACTAGGGACTGTCACAAGGACCGCCTCGTCACTACTCATTTCCCTCCCAATCTATCCATCAATGGAAGGATAAAAAACGTACGGGTCTCGTGACTTTTTCCCTCTTTTCCGATTCTTTATTTTCTTCCACTTAAAATCAGATATCAAATAAGAGATATCACACTTTCTTAGTTATTTTTTATTCTTTTTTGTTCAAATTGGGCTACCAAGCACAAACACGGTCTCAAGAATCTACTTTATTTTAATTGTCAAGTAAAATTTAGTTCTGTCAGAAAAAAAATTAACAGAAAAGAGTTCCTTACAAAATTTAGTCTGTTGTCTAATTTGAGTTTTCAAAAGCTAGCGGTTGCCCTTCTAGATTTGAGGTCACTTCATGGCTTATTAGTTCGAGAGCTCTTGTGTCTAAATTTGTTTTCCTATGGAGCTTGGCTTCTCCTTTTTTTGAAAAAAAAAAAAATCAAAGAAAAAAAAGAATTGAATTCAAGGATAATGTTTTTTAGTAATGTTACATTTAAAGTAGATACTAGATTTAATATCATTTTAAGTAATTAAATAATTTATGATAACAAATTATTAATTCTAATTTAATTTTAGATTAAATTAACCTAGACGGGAAGTTAATTAATTTTTTAAAAATATTTATTGTTATATTATGTGTTAAATATAAATTTAAAATCGAGGGGCTGTTTCATTTGCCCATTTCCCGTTTTCATTTCAATGAAAACAGAAAATAAGGTTAAAAGTGAGTTTAGTTTGCATGTTTTCTATTTTCATCAAAATATTTTTTTAAAAAATGAACTAAAAATTTAAAATTAAAAAATCATTTTTAATATTTTCTTTAAAAATTATGAAAATAGAAAATGCATATTAGAAAATTGAAATTATTTCTGGAAAATAGATTATTCTAAAATCAAATTAAACACGTTCCTAAAATTTATAAGTCCAAAAATAAAAATTATTTTTAAAAAAATATAAAATTAAAATTGAAAACATTTCCTAAAACTAAACCCACCTATTTCATTCAGTTAAGTAGAAAGAAGTGAAAGAAATCCTGAAAAAGGAAAAGAAAAATAGTACAAGAGAGAAGACGGGAAAATTGGGTGAGCTAATCTCGTGAGAGATCAAAAGTAATTTTGTTCGGGAATTTTAGCCTTAATAAATTAACTTTGATAGGATTCCCTTCCCCTTTTTTACTATAAGGCTAGGTTGCTATGATAATTTTAATAATAATATATTATATAATATAAATACGATAAGAATTTATTTAAAAAATATAATTATGAAACTACTTCACATTTGAATAAGAATTAATTTTTATTTTTTTATATTCAACACTAATATGAATTAGGATAGGCAAATTTATATTATATTAATAATTTTATTTATTAAAATAGATTTTTAAAAAATTATTTACAAAAATAGGTTAATTTTGTTTTAGTTGAAAAATCATTCCTGGAGACTGGTATCTTCTGAGAACTTATTTTAGTTAGGAGATCTGGACCGCGGAATTCCCTCCATGGGGCTCTGGGACAATGGGAGCGTAAGAAGGAAGGGGGAGAAAGAAGGAAAAGGAAAGAAGAGGAAGAAAAGGGAAAAAAATTCGGAGCTTCTATGAAGGTTTGCAATAAGGGGGAAGGAAGGGAGAGAAAAAAGAGAGAGAAAGGAAGGGGAAGAGTTCTTGTCCCCGTAAGAGTTTTGTTGCAGAATTCTTGATTTCTTAACTGAATTCGGTCTTCATAGAATCGATTTTTTGGAAGAAATTGACTCTCACGAGCTGCCCTCTTTACAGAAATTAGTCTCCTACAAACTAATTTTTTAATTAAAAAATTAATCTATGTTTGTACATAATTATATGCAAAATTATATTCATAAATAACAAAATTAGTATTGATATAAATTTGCCGCAGTTAGAATAACCTGGAAGTAGCCGTACCTGTCGAATTGAGGGTGAATGCGTGGGTTTTTCACAGTTCTCATGTCTGAAACCCAAATGAAGTTTCCAAGAAAGAAATAAAAATGAAGGGAGATAAGAGAAGTGGTGTTCCATAGAACTGAGAAATTGGTAACAGTAAGTACACGAGGATTACGAAAGTGGCAAGCAGAGGAGAGGAGCAGAAACAAAGAAGAGATGGTGAGGAGAGAATCAAAAGAGGTTTTGTTTCAAGAACTCCTCCACCATCTCTTCCAGCGAAGACAGCTTCATAACATCATTCAACGAGTACTTTCCGTCACCAATCCAAACGATTTCCCCGCTCAACGCAAAATCACCGTCTCCGTTAACAGAACTCTGGTCGACAAAACCAAGCCTGAACAGCTCATTGGCCTCCAATCCCAGAAAATCCAGACCAATGTAGTCGCAACCGAAGTCGAAAGAAATGCATTCGTCTTCTGAAGCTTCCTCCTTCACATTATCGTTGAAGTGATCGGTCTCTCTCTCTCCCGCTCCATGATCAAG